TCTGTCTCACCTGTGTCTGTCTCACCTGTCTCTGTCTCTCCTGTCTCTGTCTCACCTGTGTCTGTCTCTCCTGTCTCTGTCTCACCTGTCTCTGTCTCACCTGTCTCTGTCTCACCTGTGTCTGTCTCACCTGTGTCTGTCTCACCTGTCTCTGTCTCTCCTGTCTCTGTCTCACCTGTCTCTGTCTCACCTGTCTCTGCAGGCAGCTGCTGGGGGAAGCAGAGACTCTGCGTTTGGTGTCTCAGCTGCTGCAGTCCATCGATAAAATCTCCTCCCTGAACTCAGAGTCCTGAACTCCTTCGGACCTCCTGGTTGTCATGGAAACATCCAGGAGAGGTCTGTCTGTGAGATCAGAGGTCAGCAGGTATTTTATTTTGGAAGGCCCCAGCTATGCTGACTGCTGATTAGTGGACTGTGACTGTGTGAGGGCCGAGCATCATGTTGATTCATAAACTCTGTGATAATAAAGCGCTCTGATGATCGGAGGTGTGCACCACGAAGACGACCTTTTGGCTGATCCGGGTGACTTCAGGGTTAACGTCGGTTTCCTGAAGGTGGCAGGCCAATCAGCTGTCCTGAACGTAGCGTCACCATTCCTGGAGGATCCCTCGGACCACTACGGGGAGAACGGGAGGGTCTGGGGGCTTCGTGCACTGAGCTTCAATAGTCTTTTTTCCCCCTGTTGGCAGCAAGTTCAAGTTTATTTATATCGCACATCTGTTGACAAAAGTAGTCAAAGCAGAAAACATAAAATAGGATAAAACAAAGTTGAAGCGGTTTCATTGTTCTGTAAACATTCATGTATTCGTGCTGAGCTCGTGTCAGGTTTGTAATGTGGCACACGCCACCCCCCCAATGCGCAGATCAAATCCTGGGTTATCTTGGCAGGTTGTAACCGGCTGTATCCTGATCGCCAGCGTTAGTGTAACATAAGGTAAAGATGCCATCTTGTATGTCCCAGCTCCAAGGGGCCGTGTCAGCGTGTTTACCTGGATAAATAAGGATGTATGCGTGACTTTTTCCAAAACTGATTGCAGCTTCTACTTCGTATAAAACAGGGAAACATCCTCACCGCCCGTGCAGAAGTGCAGCTTTCGTATTTGTTGCGTCTCATCGAGAAAAACACGATTGGCTAAAGAGACAACCAGGAAACAAGAACAAGTAAATAAGAGAAAGCATGATGTCTGATACAGTCGATCAGACAGGTCATTACCCACATATACAAAACCAACTATGATACACAATATAAAACAGGTGTCTGTCTGTGTGTGCCCTGTGGTAGACCCGTCCAGGGTGTACCCTGTACCCACAGGCACCTGGGAAAGTTTTAGCCCCACCCCCCGTGACCCTGACCTGGATGAGAGGAAGAGAATGGATGAAAAATATGAGCCACAGAAAACAGAACAGCAGATGAAGCCATGAGAAATACACAGAAAGCCTAAACTGAGCTGGCGTCGCTTCGAGGACTCCGATTGTTCGACTGATCCGGGACTGTTGACTTGTTTAAGCTAACTTACATCCTGCTGTAACCAGGCAGACCAACTAATATGTACCAACAGAGAGACCTGATGTTTAATAATGATTAAATAAAAATGTTCAATAATAAGAAATGGTGTGTTACTGCCACCTGCTGGTGTGGAGTGTGAACTGCAGCCAAACAGAGTCCAGGATGTAGCACTGAGTAAAAGTGAAATGGAAGAAAATGTTAGATGAACTGGAGCTCTGTGAGTTAGGACTGGTTTTAAATGAAGTTTACTTTATTTATTTAAGGTACTTAAAAGGATGAATGTCTGCTCGCTTTAGCTCATGGTACAGCCGCCTTCATATCAACATGCGTGTAAACGGTAAGTGTTGCTAGGCAATAGTTTTACATCCATTCCCAAGGAGTCAAAATGACATGTCGGGCAGTTTTAGGTGGTCTTAATCTTTTTCTTTTGATCACACACAACTCAAAATTCCCTGTTTGATGGAAAAGTCATGAAAATGTTTTGTTTGAATTATAACAGAGTTATATGAATTTCAAAATGTCAGTGGATGGATATGGCGTGCCGGTGTTAACGGACGGCTTCGCTTCCTGCTTTTCGCCTGATCCGAGGTCTCGTTTTGTGCCTGATGTGGTGTGGAGGGTTTGTGGGGACGATCGAGAGTGTTCTCTCACTTTATATTGGGATTTTTTTTTTTTTTTTTTTTTTTTGGCCTGTCCCGTTTGGCTCTTTTGCATCAGAATTGTTGTCTAAAGGCAAAGAAAGATGCCCAACGGATTTACTTTACCAAACTGAC